TGGACGGCAAGGCCATAAGTATGCGAAAAATGATGCCGCCAAATTTACCGACTCCCATTATATTGAACAGCACTTTACTCCCGCTGCCGATTTGCTTTTCTCCGAATATCAGAAGGCCCTGATATACCATTATCTGGAAAACAAAACCGGCCGCATTTTCCGCGCACGGCAAGAAGCCATATTGGTGGTCACACGTGGTGCTCGGGATTGAGAGAGCATTATTATTATTATAACGTGTTTGGTTTGCTAGACTATCAACTCCATCCAAGATTAAGTGCTCATGATTGTGATCAGATGAGTAAAGCCTCAAGACTCGGCCTTCGACTGCGGCGATTATTAAGACGACGAGCAATATCGAGCCTTGTGCAATAGCAGCCATTTGGAATGTTATGTTGTTGAGTTGTTAGCTTGAATGAGTAATTGATGTGTACATCAGAAGAAGAAGAACAATTGATCCTTTAGAAAAGAAAAAGAAAATAAAAATTGAAGAGAACAAAAAAGACAGACAATTGTAGAGTTTTTCTATTGCAACTGGGTTTTTCATAGGCAACAACTTGGGATTAATCAAATATGGTACATTATGGAAGAATATTTAAATTTTAGGATATAGTTTATTTGCATGTTGATTGTCAGATGCTTGTGTGAGTACGTCAATGAATTATTTTCATGAGTACATATTCATTTATGACCCAACAAATTAGTTGAAAATTATTATTATTATTATTATTATTATTATTATTATTATTATTATTTATTATTATAATTATTTTTATAGGAGTTGTTATGTGATTTTAAGGGATTTAGTTATGATGTTAAAAACCATTTAGCTATTTATTAAAGAAAACGATTAATGAGATAGAAAAAAAATAATATTAATTTTAGAATCAATAACTTGAAGAAAATATTTGCAATGGAATATTAATAAGTATATGAATTTCATATAATTTAGTGTGAAATTATAATAAATTAGTATTAGTAGTAATTGTAATTTAATATAAGAATTTTAAAAAAAAAATACAATACTTATAAATTAATGTAAATATAGCACCTAGCTTCTCAATTAACTAAAAAATGAACAATTTTTTTTTTTTTTTAATTTGATAAATAGATCGAAAGGGAAGAGAATAATTGTGCGTATCGTGACAGAGGATTTAGATTATAAATTAAACCCATTGGTGAAAATTTCGTTGTCAAGTTCAGTTAATTATTAATTTTATTTTTGCAATATTAATTAACTCGTATGATTTGTCATGTTTTGCACCTAATCTTGTCCTTTTTTTTAAAAAAAATGAACGAGAGTGTGTGTATTAGCTGGCAAAACAATGGGATTAAATTCCACTTGCCAAAGGGAAATCATTTTTTTTTTTTTTTTGAACGAGAGTGTGTGTACGTATTGTATAATTCCTAGGAAATTGATTTCTTTACTAATTAAAGGGCAAATGTAACAACGTTGTATTACATTTGGGTGTGGTAACCAAGAAACAAATTAAATTATACAATGATTCCAAGTATTTTTGCGCTTTTGTGGTTACCCAATTCTTCGTATTTTAACAAATTTTATATTTATAATATATAAAATAGTGTTATACTTTATTTATATTTGATATAGTCCGAGATAAATGACTCCAGTCCTTCTAAGGGTCTTCTCCAATGTGAGCTGTAAATTAGGTGGTTCGGTCCGGTCCGAGCATACGAGTTCATCGGCACCTGCAAGAGCGTCGGAATTGCTCCAACACAAAATCCTCTGACGCCCAAGTCAATATCTTGGAATAGAAGAATAATATGTTTATTTGAACATAACAGTAGTGATATTAATGAAGTCGTACCTTACGCTATGGAATTTACCCTTTTATATAGCCCTTCAGTTGTACGTTCTTCCTTGGTTTTGTGGGCTAACATCAGACCCGCAGTGCGAGTGCTACGTGTTGACCTACGGGTCAATGCTCGACCCCTTGAGTCGTACGTCGACCTCTGGAGGCAGACGACCCAGAAATCGATCGGTGTTAAGGTCGGCTTTCGACCCCATTGACCTGTCTGTGTGAGGGTCGATGCTCGACCCTTTCATGTCGGTCGATGTTGGGGTTGATGCTCGACCTTTCGGGCCAGTCGACCCTCCGGTCCTTCTTGTCTCGGGTCGACCTTAAGGCTCATTCTATTCCGGTTTTAAGTATATCTATCCGGTTTTAGTCAAGCCGTTACTAATATCCTTATCAATGTTGTTTATTCAAAGCATGATATATTAGTAAACTATGTATATTTATAGGAGCCGTTTCGATGCAAAGATATTATAGAACGAAGAATTTAAGTCAACACATTCAGTGATGCAAATGAATCGAGTCGATCTCTGTTCATTTATCGATATTAACGAGTCGAGCTAAAGAAATTAAATTACATAAAAATTATGTTTTTAGCCTTAACGAGTCGCGTCGATCCCTATTTTCAAGTCTAAATGAGTTGAGTTCGGTTCATTGACTAAACAAAAGTCAAGCTACATAAATGAGATGCGCTGAGCTCGAGCCATAAAATGGGAGTCAAGCTGAACTAAAAATTACTCAGTTTCATTTATTAACTATAATCACATTCTTAGTGGAGACATAAACTTATGTTATATAATATTACATTTTGGTTTACCTAATTTTGTAATTAAACTATGACATTTGGGTACGAATGATTGTAAATTTGTCGAAAAATAACTATTAGAGCATCTCCAATATTTCAATGTTGTCATATAATAATTTTGACAAATGTTAACAAATCAAATTTTATCCTTTTCCTTGTTGAATAAAATATTTGGAATAAATAATACTCACGTGCTCAAATTAGACTTGGGCATAAGATCAATTTTTTTTATTATTATTAAGATACTTGGTCTACCATGATAATGATTTATTATATGCTGTCTGCAAGTAGACATATATAATGCCAAAACCTTTATTGTTACTCTAATATTTTAGGGTGAAAAATGGACTGCACGATTATTTATTCCATGTTTTATTGAGAAAAGCTCACAATTTTTTTAAAGTTTCAACGCGTTGGTAAATGAAATTAACAAGGTGGCATACCTTTATTTGAAACTAGTTTTGATCTTATGAAGATGTTTACATAACCATTTTGTCGAGATTTGTAAACCGTTAGATCAACTATATCTGACGATTACATGATAATTTAACGGTTATAAACCCCGACGGAATTATTCCGTAACGGGACCTTAATATTTCTCTTTATCTTATGTAGGAAAACAAATTCTTATAAATTTTTTAAGTTAGTTGTGTATATAATATTAATATCATAAGTTAAATAATAATGAGCATATGACGTTTATAAATTTTATTAATAATAAAAATGAATGATATAAAAAAAAACAATTAACATATTTTTTTCTTGATTAATTAACCAAAATTGTCGTGTAACTTGTCACATATGCAACTGTTACATAATATTACGTAATGTAGAACCAAATTCTTGATTAATTGACCAAAATTGTTTTGATACAAAAGAAAAAAAAAAAATTGATGAAGACCAATTACATCCAACCAATTTTTAAACTTTAAAAGTTATTTCTATAACTCATACATATTATTGAATTAGCCGTTTTAACATACAAAATATTTGATAAATAATTACATGTTTGATATGTAAAAACAACTCATTTCACAATCATTTATTCCAAAAAGCTCTTATATTGAGTTTTTTTATCAATACTTTTGGGTAATTTCAAAAATTATTTCAATCCAATACTTACTAAACAATTAAAGGGGTGCATTTTGTTTGGTGAGATTTTCTAAAGACTTTTTAAGACTTCTGAAATCCTACCGTAATTAATTTTGACTTTCTAAGACTTTTAAAAAGACTTGAGTTATTCGTTTGAGATTTTAAAAAGTCTTATAAAATTCTGATGTATTTAACTCGTTTGATAATTCTGACTTTCTAAGACTTTTAAAAAACCTTACAAAATTATGATGTATTTAACTTATTTGAGACAAGAACCTACTAAGCTTTTTTAAGATTTACTAGGATTAAAACAACAAAAAAACTTTATATGAAATATCATTCCAAATCTCACCTCCATATTTTAAATTGTACATAATTTTTCCTAATTAAATCTTAAAAAATTAAAAAGTCTCAAAATATCACTTCAAATCTCAAACGAATATATCTAATCTAACGTGTTAAGAGGCCAATACTCCAAAGTTATATGTCCTTACAATAATAAATCCTACAATTATACAAAACATGTTTCTTTAAATACAAGAAAATGGGAAGCTAAATAGAGCAAACTTGTGACAAAAAGGACCTTCAACAACAAAAACATCACTCCACTAACATAAATTTACACAAACAGTCTAAATAGTCTGATTTTGTTCTAAGTAAAGGCCTCAATTCATCACATGAAAGAGGTAAGCAAATAAACCAAGGCCAGCGAAATCGGGTACAGCAGCAGCACGAGATAGCCCGTGAGACGAGTAAACATCGTCCGCATGCTCGTGAGCACAGTCATCAAGATGCAGACGATCAAAACCACCAGAATTTCTCCGAAAACATCGGCCCACAAATGCCTAAGGAAAACCGGGGCAAGAAATGCTATCAGGCCCATAATGTTGTTCATGTATACACCACCATATAGCTGCAAAAATAAGCAGAGAAGTATTAAAAAAAAAAACAATTTATTTCTTTTTTATATAAAAAATGAAATTAATCGAAAGATTAATGTGTACTACATACAGAAGAAAGTGTTAGAGAGATCGATTTTTGTGATTTCTGCCTAGCGGAAGCAATTGAACCAACCGCGACTCCATAGTTCATAGCAAAAGGTATTGCCAAATACGAGACGATGAATGAAGATAAGTTCGCGGCTTGACTAAAACCCACGACACTGTTAATTAGAGGCTCGGAAAGGGCGCAAAGCAAAACCGTGCCCAATATTACGAAAGAAAATGCTTTCAAGTAATTCAACCATGAACTAATGCTCGAATTTCGCCTTGCTCCCGAGCTGTTAGCTAATAAACTCTGCTGCAATTGGTTCTGCAAATTCAGATTTTTATCGCATCAGAGGCTAAAGTATATAGCAAATTTTCTTTTTTAAAAAAAAATCTTTTACCTGGGAATTGCTACCGGTGAATACTTTAACGAGACCGGGAGTTTGGTCAGACAGGTCGTTGACTAATTTGGTCATGCCTTTGACGAACTCATCACGAGTAATACGACCATCTCCCGATGCATCGAAAGATTCTAGAACATTCTCGACGTCTCTTTCTGTGCTCAAATCATCGTCTAATTTCAATCCTAGGAGAAGAACTCTGAGCTCCAATGCTGATATCGATGCACTACTGTCCTTATCTATTCTATCGAACAATCTGCGGAAAAAAAAAATATGATTCATGCAAGAAATTAATTTAGACTTTCTCTTTTTCCAAACTGAAAAATTAAAAATAAAAATGGTATCTTACCGTTGTATTTTGCTAGTGTCGGGTTTGCCGTTTCTTGAGAGGAGTCGAAGAAGCTTGTCTTTGGCATATTTGTTCATCAAATACTCGAATCTCCGGTTCTGAACCCATGGCCTGAATATCTGTATAAAAAAATAAATAAAGTACTGAACGAAAACTACAAATGTGTCGTGTATTTTACTATCCGTGAAAAAATTACGAAAAAAAATCGTTACCTGATACAAGATATAAGCAACGAGCAAAACGACCGTGATGATGAAGGCGATAACAATAATCGCATGTCTCCCTCTAGACGAGCTGAAAACTTTTGTTAGTAAAAGTACGAAAAAGGGGACCAACGTTACCAACATCAGCCGAGCAGTGTAGCTCGTCTCAGCATCCGTAACAACGCCATAATTACTGCCACCTGCTAACATTAACAGAGCAGTGAAAATTTGAGTGTGTGATTTTCCAGTCAAGAAAGATTAATTAATTACTTAAGAAGTGTTAGTTAGTTAATAGTAATCACCTTTTGAGAAATTATTCTGGCTTGCAGATTTATCATCACCATCAGTAGGAGGCTCAGACAAATCATAGCTTCCTAGGACAACACAAATGCCCCAAACCAAAGTCAAAAGCATAACCGTTGACCCTGCGACTAATCCCATCCCGAGCGTGGCCCGTTGTTGAGCGGCTTCCACAGAGCCCGAAAGTGCTGAAACTATATTATTCGAAACAAAAACTAAATAAGAAAATCGAGTTTTCGTCATGAATCCTAATGTGGGGCAAAAGCTTCATTATGTATCAAAACGAAGGTTTTCATGCAAGAACACAAACCATTACATTATCAAATAGTTGTGAACTAGAGAACAGTTATGTAATGATGTAGAACACGAGCACGTGATCTCTCAATCGTCCGTTAACGTATACAAACACTAGCTCGAAGAAAATTAATCAACACAAAAAAAAAAAGATTTTTTATCGATGACAAAATTATCAAAATTTTCATTAACTTTTTATGATTACAGAAAATGTACACAATTGATGAATATCGAGAACAAATAGTAACCTACTAACTGATCACAAAAAAAAAAAATCACTATTACATTAGTTGCAATGTTTCGAATATCGAATATCACGTTCATAACTAAATGCTTTGTAGCCTAGTTGGTGAAGAGTTCAATATTATAATCCAAAAGGTCCTGGGTTCAATCCCCACCATTGGAACTAAGTCAACATATTTGACAATAAGGGCATAATGGTAAATTCATTGATAAAGTAAGAGTGCAATGGCGGCGAGTATGCATGCAGATATTAAATACAAGGAGTTTGACGCAATTTTTAAAATATCAGATAAAAACGCGCATAATTCATATAATATAGGCGAATTTAGTGCAATAAACCCTTTTATAATTTTGCCATCATATTATTATTTCTCATTTGCTCATATATAAAAGTTGGTTTTGCCCACATCTCATTAGCATTTTCTACTTGCAAGTTAGGGTCACATATATTGGCTTCCTACATTTGGCTACAAGTTTTATGTACCTCTGGTTTTCATTTGACCATTCTTTTTTCTATAAAAAGAAAAATCTTTATTTATTATTCCCATCTCCTCTGTGGAAAATGTGTCATCAATGAAATATTTTTAGGATATTGCAGCTGGCATTGGAGCATCTTTTGGCAACTTTAGCAGTAGCTTTTGGGCATGTTTGAAAAATTTCCGTCGAGCTTGCCTAGGAGCACCTAGGTGCCACCAAGCTGTCTGACATCCGAGCCTACCTAGGAGCGCCTATGTCTATCTAGGCCCGCCTGGCCGATTTTTTCAGATAATTTATGCAAATTGGAGGCGGTCGGGAAACGCCTAGATGGCCCCTAGGCCGATTTTTAGAACAGAGACGGATACACAACCTACAAGGCTACAAGATGCTGTGAACTTGAATTCTAAGCTGTTTGGGAACCAATTATGAAAAAGACAAGTGCTAATTATTTATTTTGTTTTACGTACATTTTCCTCTAAAGAAGTAATAATCACAATTTATATGATAAAGCAATTTTTGAATGAATGGTCAACTAGACTTTTCAACATTGTAACAATTAATTGATCTACATCACATACCAAAAGTTTATTAAACATGAGTAAACTAAAAATTAAAAATTTCACAACAATTAATCACCAAAAAAACACATTAAAAAAAAAAATAAAAAAATTCTAGTAGCCTCTCAAAATTATTTACACATTTAAACCTGGATTTACCGAATCACGTTGGCAAAATTTGGACTACTAATTAATTTTAAGGATATTTTAATTAAATAATAATGAATTCTTCCGTAAGCAATCTGAAAAACCATTAATTAAACACCATTCTTATTCATAAATCCTCTTCATGCATATTTATTTCATCATATTTTTTTTTTTTTTTTCATAATGAAAATAGAAACTTGTAATAAAATAAAATAATAAAATAAAAATTGTAAAAAAAATAAATAAATAAATAAAATGAACTCACCAAGAAGCAAGACAATTTGTGGGATAGTGCCCAGAAAGTGAAACAAGCTGGCTCCAAAAATTCCAGGCCCAATCATCTGGAAAAACAGCTCAGAGCCCATCCCCACATATCTTCCCCCAATAGACAGCAATATCTCGTACACTATGATCAGGAAAAGAAGCCCCCAAGCATTGCTCGAGCACGGCAGAAACCCGTAAGTCGGCTCGCATGTCTCTGTCGTGCTCGAAAGACCCCATTCGAGAAAACCCGGCCGGCTCTCCGGCTCATCACCACCGTCGGATTTCATCATCATTTGCCCATCGTTTGAAAGCGGACGGCTATAAGCGAGTTGGCTCGTCAGAAGAAGAAGAATAAGAAGATGAATAACTCGGGTTTTATTCATCTTCATGGATGATTTTAGTTTGAATGGTTCAGGTGGACGATGACTTTTTTAAAGGGAATTGTTGAGGCTGTGTAGATATTATACTTTGATATTTTGATTCCTCAATTGACTCGAAATTCACTTATAGATTCATCAGGCAAAATGACACAAGAAAAGGGGAATAGGAAATAAATAAATAAATAAAACAAAACAGAACAAATTTGCTGTCAATTGTGAAATGTGTGCTATTATGAGGTGAAATACAAAAATTTATACCTAACTTAGCCTTTTGAAATATCTTTTATTATTCAAGCAGCCAATATTTAATGATAATTCAAACATGGACAATGTCAAAATTGAAGGAGTTGAATATTCAGACACTTGCTAGATTCATGGATTGCATTGCACGAATAACATCTGAACACGTGTACAAATACGACATCATTCGCGTAAAATGAGAATTCTAATAAACGGGAGTGAAAATTAATATAAAGTGAACACGTGTACAAATACGACATCATTAGCGTAAAATGAGAATTCTAATAAATGGGAGTGAAAATTAATATAAAGTGAATCTTGATAGGAATACAGAACAAGGATACATACACCTGATCAATTTTCAGACACGAAATTCCCAGCTGTATATTGTACATGTGACTCAATAGAAAAATAGGCAACTAGTTCAAATGTCAACCTGGTGTTATTTTCAGTTTCGCGTACAAGGAACCAAACCGCGCAATAAGAAAAATCGAGAGTTCAAATTGCTCCCTGGACTTGTCGACTTCATAACTTGTCAATTCTATTAGAATTTTAACGAGACAAAAATCATGAGCTTCCACTGATTTTCCTCAAGTTAGTCCTAAATCCGAGGCGCGTATATTTTAAAGTTAGACAAATATTTTTACTGGATCAAGAAATTGTTTAAAGAGGTCTAGGATTGATCGGCTGGTGCTGGTAAAATTGTGGGGCCACTTCGGTCAGCCAAGATGGGTCGATCGAGATGACATTGCGCATGTATTGACGGTCAGTGGACACAATCGAGTGGAATATGACCCACTTTGGGTTTACTCTGCAATACGAGTTCTCACAAAATGAGATTTTACTTATTTACATGCGCATTTCTTTATAAAAGCATGAATTCCGTATGGATATTCGCATTTTGCAAAATAAAAAACCTATCATGAAGATAATAATAAACATGCGACAGGTACAAAATCTGAACTATATATAACCTGAATAGCACGGAAGAAGGATGGATATATACTTCTTGGGAGCTTCTTATGGTCTTGTATAGCCCGTTGTGACTGAATGCCTTTTAAGATTCAACAAGATAACAGCAGTAGATAATAATCAAATTAAACCTGCACAAATTTATATATATATATAAATGTAGAAAAATTACTTACATCTAAACGGCAAGCATTAGTGAAAAATCCGGCAGTGACTGCCTTCCTAACTACCTGAGTAAATATCAAAAAGATAAAAGAAATATGATGGTGATCAGGTATATATTTCCATAATCATTATTTCTACATTTTGATATATTAGTTTTGGTTTCGAAAAGCATAGTTTTACTTTACCTGCATATCACCTTCACAAGATTTCAGGGCTATTCCTAAACGTTGAACAATTCTTCTCAGCTGTTTTCGGATTTCGTCAACTTTTTTCTGAAGGGAGACCAAATGAATTTCTTGAAAAAAAAGAGCGACCGTATTAACGAAAAAAATGAATTTTCAGAAGTGTGTGCCTAAATATACTCACCATGGCATGGTAGTTTACATGGTTCTTGTGACACCAGTTTGAAGATTTACCAGACTCGATAAATCCTTTATACACGTTCAAGAAAGTGACGTGATCCCCCTGCAAACCGCAAAAATATTCTGCGTTAGTATTAATTGCTAGTTAGATAGTATCTTAAAAAAACTCTGACTAAGGTACACAAAAATATTGTTTCAATTTGAAACGAAGAAGTACCTCAGAGGCGGCAAATCTCAACTTGGCTTCATCCAATTCCTTTTGAGCTCCTCTAACAGAGAACCATATTGACTGCTTCAAATAACTAACATAATGTCACATAATGAGGAAATTCAGAATACTTTAACGATCCAAATAAAATAGCACGAGAAAAATATTAACCTGTATAGACAGCACGGCAGCAATTGTGATAATTTCCTCAGAACAGCCATATTTATTCGAAGCTAAAATCATTTTGGAAACCATTGGTTCCTACAAAAGAGTTGAGCAACTTAGAAATAAAATAAAGATTACAAATTCAGTTAGATATTTTCATACGAATCCCAACTCCGCATTAGCAACTGCAAGATAATTTGAACTATAACCATTTTTTTTTTATTACTAATATAAAATAAGGTATTGGAAGGTCAGCTGAGGTACTATAAATAATATCATGGATTCAGCCCTCAATTTTAATACTTCCTCAAGAACCAGAACACTGCAACATTAGATAAATTCGTGTGGAGAAGCTTCTATGTAAACTTGTCTTCTCTTTGACATCAAATATATTTAATCTTTCAGCAACGTGAATTATTCTATCGTGGAAATTTCATTAGAAAAATATAAAAAGGATCTGGGGGAAAAATTGACATACTAAAGGAATTTCTGCAATTTGGAATCCAGCAGGAGAAGTGAGTTTTGCATCATCATCGATTACTCCAAGTGAGTACAACACTTCGAGTGCTCTGATTAGTGCTTCAGGAGAGGGTGATGCTGGCCAGTCGAACCCCAAAATGTTGTCTATGCCTAGAGCTTTTAACTATCAGAAGAAAAACAAATAGTCACACGTTAAAATATCCCAAGGAAGAAGCTAAAGGTTCAAATTTAGTCGAATTAATTTAAAAATAATACATACCTGAATCACACAGGAAACAAGATTTGATCTTTGCATCTCTGGTACACCATCAGGAGACATCTCATTCATAAAATATTCTTCTGTATAAAGCCTGTATATGGTGAAAAATAGAATATTCTCGTTAGTTATTCTACTTTAGATTCCCCTTCTTCTTGAGCTGTGTCAAAGCAGAAAGTCTTTTCTTACAGTGACTGAATATTTCTTATGTAGACTATTTAAACTCATACGTGTCTAAATTTATCCGATTTATCAAGAGTAATAATAGGGTTAGTTAGAGTAATCTTTCATGCATGAAGATAGAGAGTCAACATTTATATTTTGATTAATCAAGCACCTGTAACACTTTCCTGGCCGCATTCTTCCAGCCCTACCAGCCCTTTGTCGGGCAGAAGCCTTAGATATTGGAGCCACAACTAAATTTTCAATATCTGTCACCTGTTGTGAATTGACAAATAGCTTTAAATTTGACATAGAAAATTTATAAGTTTTTTTACTCATCAAGAAAAGTTCTTATTTAAATCTGTCGACATAATCACCAGTTGAAGTAATTTTCACTTTTAATGTACAGCATATTTAAAAGATCTTCGTTCGTAAAAACAAATGGATCAAATTATGCTAAATATTTTAAGAGAAGTGAATGACACTAATAAGAAAATTGGGCCAAAGCAAAAGTATCAACTGTCTAAAGTTTCGTCGTAATCATAGAAAAAGGTACAAAACACAATATTGAAAACAAAGGGAATAGAAACAAGTACCGGATTATAAAAGCGTTGCTTTGAAAAACCACAGTCAACAACATAGACGACACCCTAAAATGAGGATAGAACCGTGTCAGAAACAAGGATCATTAACTAACTTGAAGCCAATAAAGTGAAATGAGTACCCAATTAAGCTTTTTTTTTACCTCCAATGTCAATGATGTCTCGGCAATATTTGTGGATATCACTACCTTTCTCTTCCCACGAGGAGTCGGGGAAAACACAAGATCCTACAAACAAGATAAAAGAAAATGAAACACCAGGTTTCAATAAATTCAGAATAATACAAGGAGTTGACATGGTTTGTTTGTTTCTCTTGATGAACTAAAAAAAGGAAATTAATTACCTGATCTGCACGAGGTAGTCCAGAATACAGAGGCAAGAGAAGCAATCCTGCAAGAGAACAAAGTGAAACAAATCAATAAGCTGCAGGTCCAAATATTTTTCAAATTGATGTTTTATGCAAGAGACGATTTATTGGCCTCAATGAAGCAACCTTTCTTTCTACTGTGAGAATCTTCTGTAAGCATCTGAATTGCAGCATCAATATCATCTTGACCGGTAAGAAATACAAGAATATCTCCCATTGGCTCCTAGAAAGACACAAGAAAAAGATCTTTTTTGAATTAAAATTTATTACACAAAAAAAGTTAATTAAATCATGTAAATAGACATGAAAACATCACCACCGTGCCAAAAAA